TTGAAATAAGCCCATTGCCTATATGATGTAATTTGGGATTTTACTGTGTACTAATTATTTGCTCTGTAATAATACATTGAACTCTTTCTGTGGATTAGTTTCAATATTTTATATTACTAGGATCCAATATATACCAACAGATCCCATTTCATCAAATGAAATGGAACTAATGTCTTTAATTTAATTACAAAATTAAATTCGGGGCTTTTAGCTTCTATTTTTGAAACATGGTTAGAACTGTGTAGCGAAAAAAACATTTTAAATCAATTAATTAATTTATATATATATATATATATATATATATATATATATATATATATTGTTCAAAATATATTGTTAAATATAACCGACAACGAATGTCTTATGTATAATCATGAGCCATTCCAAACTTTGTATAGTTGCTTTAATTTTGGGAGAAAATAAAGACAAAAATTGTCCAACATTTGAATATTTTTTTTTTTTATTATGCTGTTCCTTGATCTAAGTTTTCAGCTAACATGAGCCATCTTCAGAGTGATTATATGGGCATACTCAACAAAATTACATTTCAAACTAGTCACATTACATCTAGACATATGGTTCTGTTGCTAATATTTCATTCTCTCACATGGTACAACGTCATTGAAAAACATCAGGAATTTATGATCCTTGTTTGCTACTCTGCAACCATTATCGTCATATAGCAATCTTCTATATCAACATAAAATATCATCTTTGATGGTGAATATCTTTGTTTAAATGTCAATTTAAACAATGATATTTTTAAGTACCCATCAGTCTATAAAACTATCAGACCAGGGAAAGTAAATTAAAAATTATTCTAGATTTAAAATATGGGCAGACAGCTATGAGGTCGGTGTTATTTAGTAAATGTCTAATAAAATAATCTAAAAATTAGGTGAATATCTATTTTAATACAAATTAAGTTATTTAAGAAAGAAAAATATATAGCAAATGCTAAAAACACAAAAAGAAAACTTCATTTACAAAGAAACTCAGTAAATTGTCAGTACTAAAAAAAAAGAAAACTACAAAATAAAAATATTATTTCAAAATGTAGATACTACCCTGTATATTAAAATTATATATTGAAAATAAATAATAGCTGTTATATTTAGTGTATGAATATGTATTCAAATCCTATAAATATTATGGGACAGAGCTAGTAATATATTTATAAAAGTTAATGAAAAACAAAGTAAAATACAGAGAATTAAAAATGCTAACAAAAATTAAAATTGTGAAACTCATTTCTAAATCAGTAATGAAAAAAGCTAGAAATATTAAAGAGACAGATTTTGACAAGTATTACTTCATCAGCATAAAAGGCCATATTCTTAATGATGTTCTTATTCAGTGGGAATAAATAATTACAAACCCTATACAAAGGTATGTGCTGCAAACACTTAACTCTCTTTTTAGTCCCTTAATTAGATATATATATATATATATATATATATATATATATATATATATATATATATATATATATATATATATTTTCATTGTAATTATTCTCAACCCAAGTTTCAAGTAACACATGAAATATGATTCCATCCCCTTGTACCTGCTTCAATCAGAATATATATATATATATATATATATATATATATATATAAATATATATATATATATATGGTACAATAAATCATTATAAATAAATAAACAACAATATGGTTGATCACCTTTACAATCTTATGAGTAACATCAAATTTTAAACTGAATTTTTTTTTTATCTAAAAAGTTAATCTTAAATTCTTATTCCACTATCTACTAATAACATCATAGGTTCCAATATGGAATAAGCATGCATTTCACATTTAACTTGTCTCATTTATATAGTCTGTATGCCAAACTAAATGTTTTCAATTTTTATATGAGCCAAATTATTAGTGAAACATAAAACGAAATGATTGTCAACAGGATTTGGAAAAATGCCAACATCCTTGAGCTGTACAACTTAAAAACCAATTATTTTGAAATTGTTACATGTTAAAATTCCTGTGAAATGCCCTTAGAGACTCATATCCTAAACAATAATATTGATAGCAAAGATCTGATAATGTCTGGCTCTTGTACCAGTTGTAGAAAATAACAGATTTGATAGCAGATTAACACTTTTTTTTAACACCCAAATATTAGTCTCTTAAATGTGTATTAAATACATCAAAAAATCATTTTGAATGGAGTTAAATAAGTAACAGATGAAGTTCCAACTATATTCAATCTAACATCCAACATTATTTTTCTTAGTCCCAACTGGTGTTTACTGTTTAGGTGGGGGAGTAGTCGAGGGGGGGGTATATTTATATCTCTTCTGTCATCAAGTATGTGTGCATTTAATCTAAAATGTTGAGGAAAAAAAATGATTACAGATTCAAAGCACTAATTTTCTTTTCTTTAAATCAAGATAGTTTCAATGCTTCTAGCAAAGCTTATTAATTAACAAACCCTAAAATAGGTTTTAAATTGACCAATATGCAAATCTACCAAACTACCAAAAAAAAAAAAAAAATACTACAATACAGATCAGACCTCATAGTGTGCAGCTACAAAAACCTGTTTTTATTCTAATTTGTTTATTAGTAAAAGCCAAATACCAATTAGATTTAAATAGTACTTCATATATTAACCCACACACAACATCAACCAAGAGAAAATATCAAGAGAAAAGATTAGAAAGAATAAGTTGATCATAGTTGAGATCAATGTAAATGATCCTTTCCTTATCTGCATAATATGTGCTTCACCAGGACTACATACATATTTGGATTCAGTGTTTTCCTTTTCCTGGACTGGTTGCCACCCAAGGCTATAGAACCCAGTCTGTCCTACTATCCATAGCAGGAAGTGGAGTTGGCTTCATACCTTTCCCATTTAATATAATCTCCAACTTCTTTCTAAAAACATCTGCATTTCTCTTCATGTCAGTGAATACACTTATCTATAATGAAATATAAAACCATTGTCTCCAAACAAATACAAAAATAAACTTATATCACCAGTGTTTACATACATCTTCAATATAAAAAAAATTACTATAAACGTCAAATGAAGAAATTTACACTGGTTACTGCCTTGTTTTAAATATATTAAGAACTGTTGAAACTACTTTTAAATTTATTCAATATAAACAGATGAATCAAAATTTTTTTAACTCATTATGCAAAACATTTGATGTTAACTGCACAATTCATAAGCTATTGTAGAGAAGCAATAAAAGAATGAAGAGTAGAAATATCCAACTCGTGACAGGATTCAATTTGCACCAAGACAATATAAATGCTATTTCTTTAATACTTAATGTATATCAATGGACTGAGAATGGAAAGATAGAGATCGTAAAAGGTCATACATTATTGCTCACATTAATTAGTTGCTTGCTACAACCATCATTTCAATAATGACTCTTCAGTAATAAATATAAAAGAAAAGGCTACTAATGTTGGAAAAAATTTTAAAAAATAATCAATATCAAGCAATTTTTTTGTTGTTTTTACTGAAATCTCCCATGAAAATGAGAGAGACATTCATAAATTTAAGTCAAGAAATTCAATGGATTATTTTTATTTACATGCAATGTAAGAGACACTAAGGCCAACTGCTTTGTTACATATATGGTAAAATGAATAGAATTTCCATTAGTTTAACTACTAATACAATACAGATACAATACAGACATAGGTGTAGCTAAGGAAAATAATACTTTGAAGTGCCTGGCCCTGGGGAACAGCTTCCCAAGGCTGCACCCTCTCATTGCACTAGAGAGGGGGATTGTTGCTCACCATCAAGGCCAGAGCAGCAGAAGGCTATGGGGGCTTGGGCAATTTTTGTACTTGGCCTAAGTATATGTGCTCAGGTTGCCCACATAAAATCAGAGCTTGTGCCACATCCTGTCTCAGTGGGGAGGCATGGTAAATACTACAGAACACATACAGTGTTAATATCTCAGAGTTGCACCAATTATACTTCTTTTTTTTTTTCTTTTTTTTTTTTCATAGAAATATTTCTATGCTTTTCCATTATTCAGACTAGTATATCTATTATAAAATAAAACTAAAAATTAAAAAAATATTTTTTTGGTATCTAAATTCATAATATTTATGCTTTGTTCAAACCAAAAAAATAATCTAATAGCCAATATGTTCTAATAGCCAATATGTTCTTAGAAAACAAAGTCCAAATAGTGCTTTTGAACATAGATTCTTCCCCATTCTAGAAATATATATATATATATATATATATATACACACCAAATATCCTGCCAAGATAATGCCTTTTTTTTAATTCTTGTTTAATCCAAGTGTATTGCATCATATCTTATCTGTCTATATTTCTGAGATGAGGTATTTTAACTATTTGCACAATTTGAACCATCAAGATGGACAATGTTGATTTTGCCCTTTGTACAACACAGGGGTAGTAGATATTTGGCTAAAATTTTCAGTCTTTAAAGTAATATTCATACCAGTGCACCATCTGTGTCACAGTGTTAGATAGTGATGAATGTCTTAATAAGATTCAGTGTAGTGAAAAAATTCAGTTCAAACAGGAAAGATGCCACACACAAAGCTTTTGTTCAGTTAAAGTGGTTTTTGATTGGTTAGATTGTGAATCTTCAAGAAACTAGATGATCATTTTGGAGATGTATGTGATATGTTGGTGGTGCTTTGATGTTGATAACAATAATATATTCAGAGACAAAGTTCTGGAGGGCCACATTGTAAAGATATCAGTAGCAGACTGCATCCATAGCAGAGATCAAAGCAAATATGCCCCCCAGGACATGCCTGTCCCCAAAAAGACCTATACTATTCACTATTCTCTATAAAATGTCTGACAACTTCTTTGGTTGGCACAATGATCATTGAACACATATGAGACTTGACACCAGATTATTCATTCAGCCCAATTACAAAGGATGCAAAAGATGTAGAATAATATATCACAAGTTGGGATCAATCATCTATATGGTTGTATGCATACGAAAACACAGTATATTACAGACAGACGGATATTGCATGCGGGAGAGTGAGAAAGAGAGAGAGAGACAGGCGGATATTGCGTGCGGGAGAGAGAGAGAGAGACAGGCGGATATTGTGTGCGGGAGAGTGAGAGAGAGAGAGAGAGACAGGCGGATATTGCGTGCGGGAGAGTGAGAGAGAGAGAGAGAGAGAGAGACAGGCGGATATTGCGCAAGGGGGAGAGAGAGAGAGACAGGCTGATATTTGGAGGGAGAGGAGAGAGAGAGAGAGAGAGACAGGCGGATATTGTGCAGGGAGGAGAGAGAGAGAGAGAGAGAGAGACAGGCGGATATTGCGTGTGCAGGGAGAGTGAGAGAGAGAGAGAGAGACAGGCGGATATTGCGTGTAGGGGGAGAGAGAGAGAGAGACAGGCGGATATTGCGCGGGTGGAGAGAGAGAGAGAGAGAGAGAGAGACAGGCGAATATTGCGTGCGGGAGAGTGAGAGAGAGAGAGAGACAGGCGGATATTGCGTGCGGGAGAGTGAGAGAGAGAGAGAGAGGAGGGAGAGAGAGAGAGAGAGAGGCGAATATTATGGAGGGAGAGAGAGAGAGAGAGAGAGACATTAATAAGTGGCAGGGGAGAGAGAGAGAGAGAGAGACAGGCGAATATTTGCAAGGGAGAGAGAGAGAGAGACAGGCAGATATTATGGGGAGAGGAGAGAGAGAGAGAGAGAGAGACAGGCGGATATTATGCAGGGAGAGAGAGAGAGACGGATATTGTATGTGGGAAAGAGAGTGAGATAGACAGACAAGCAGATGCTGTATGCGAGAGAGAGTGAGAGACAGGCAGATAGTGCATGCAGGAGACAGAGACAGATATTGTGTGCAAGATTGAGACAGACAGACAGACAGATATTGCATGTAAGAATGAAAGAGCAATGAAAATATTTTAGCCTTCTGATATTTGGTTATTGAAATACTGCTATCAGTAATTAGGTCAAACTGAACTTTTCAGTACCCCAGTGTGTATGTGTGTGTATATATATATATATATATATATATATATATATATATATATATATATATATATATATATAACACTGCAAAGATTTATTATGCTTCCAACTATACTAAATTAAGGAATTAAAACTTAGTAAATACGAAATTCAGAAGAAAGTGCTGACAGCTCTCATGATAGGCTAAACTGTCAGGGAGGGACAAACAGACAAATCACATGTGTTACCCATTCAACAAGCAAAGATTAACAGCTGCTGACCTAACTATTGAATTTAATCATCTGGTTTCAAATCTGTCAGGGTGGAGAGCCAAATAACTAGCTGAAGACTTGTGTCTGGAGATCTCTTCCCAGGCAGCACCTACTGCTGCAGTAACAATTGAAAGAAACAGATAAGTTCTGATATTATTCCAGCATTTGACATTTGGCTACTAATGTATTATACTAATTAGCTACTACCATCTACCTGCTTGTTTGCTTTCTTTACATAAAGGAGGTGCTGAAAATTTCTCAGCCTGACCAAAAAGTCATGGTGAGGGTAGAAATTAGGTTAGGTGAAGAACTTCACAACAATATAAGAAAAGCTTCTGCTAAAGCGACTAAAAGCTATTCAAATATAAATTCAATCCCAGGAGATAATTTCATGTTTCAGGCTTTTTTGTTACTTTCAATATAGATAACAAGCACTTTGCCAAACACACAGGGATTAAATAGTATATGGGTTAAACAATAAATAGTATGTGAGTTAGGTATCCAAAAAATCTTCATGGAATTTCAAAGTGAACCCTTTATTTAATCTACAGGTATAGATTGTTCTTGTTAGATTGTTGATGTCTAGGGATATCTTGTCTTATCCTTTTCAGTACTAATCAATTATTGCTCATCTTGTAACCAGAGATAATAGCCTAATTAATGAAAGTGTTGCTTTATGAATTTAGTTCCACAGTAATTGTGACTCCAATCACTGAGTCAGGTGGTACAGACTCAGAAACAAAACTAATAATAACTGATCAGTACCAAAGAAAGAACAAGGTATCTCTAGACATTGACAGCAGAACAAGAACAATCTACCCACATAGATTAAATAAATATATATAAATATATATATATATATATATATATATATATATATATATATATATATATACATATACACACAATCTGGAGAGCTTAATTGATAATGGTGAAGAAAAAGAAATTTCTTGGGAGATGTGTGTTTCTGTAGAAACCACATATAAACATGCAATTTTTTAATACTTAAAATTTTTTCCAGTATTTAAGTTTCAAATCTTCAACTGTGTATCTTAAAGTAAAGCTTCTTACAAAAATGAAACGTCTTCCTTCATTTTCATGACAATTTTCTGACTGATAAAACATTACTGACGATATTACAAAAAGCCAGGATGAATAAAGTGAATGTTTTATGATGCTGTTTTGTAAACAAAATGTTCTATCCTAATTATGATCAGATTGATGCACAATAGAATTTTTAAAAAAAATAAATAAATAAACTTACCCATTCTACACCTTGTGTATATGGACAGTCTTCCCAGTCAACTTCAGGAAAGCGTTGGAGGATTTTTCCACTACTGACACCACTCCCTGCATATATCAATAGAAAAGGATAAAATATAGAAAAAAAAATGATTGAAATATCTTAATCTTAAACAGTAAAACAAAAACATTCCATTGTACAAGTCTTGAGATAAACAGATGCTGCAAGATAATTCTATTCAAGTCATCAAACATTTGATATACATTACAGTTTTGTTTTTTATTGAACATTTCAATATATTTTTAAGTAATTTTCAAGAGTTTAAGGCTATATAAAATGTTAACTTCAATTTAATGTGGAAAAATTGTATATTTTGGGATATGTACATTATATAAATATGCACATCCATATCTAAAATTTGAAGCCTGTTGCAGCTATAACACCTAAAAATGACTTGAAAACAAATTCTGAAATGGATAATAAAAGACTATATATTAAACCAATAACTCAAAAGTTAAATTAATATGGACATTACTTGAATTCCAAATGCAAAATCTTTCAGACTGTAAGATAAATCTTCTAAGGTGCACCACTATTTTCAGAAAGAGAACAAGCCTTGAGAAAATGAAGTCAGGTAACTTCAATCATACCCAAACCAAAATTTTCCACACTGCCATGTCACAACACTTTAGTGTATCACTAACAAGCTTTCTGTAATGATTACCTAAAATTTTAATTGAATTATTTCTTTTTTTTTGATGTACATTTTGAATTATACATTTGTTTTAACTAACGGGGGGGTGTCACAAAAATAAACATTCCTCTTTGAAAAAAAATGTGCAAGCAAGAGAAAATTTTTGGAAAGCCCTAGACTTAATCGAGGCCTGTCATATTATTTAAGCAATTTTCATTTTGATATTGTACAGCTACAGAGAACTAACACTGAAAAATATTAAGTTGAATGATAGAGCAAGTTACTATATTGTTTAAGGATATTAAAAAAAAAAAATAAATAAAAAAAGAGACAGAAAAAATTCATAGGTTACTTATCCAGTTAGTAGATCAATTAAAATTACTATTAAATGGAAAAGGTTAATAAAGTACAGATTGTACATGTATTAGCATTATTAAAATTGTTCCAGGTGCCATGTTTTAATCTCCAGTACAAAACATGGAAAATTCAATATCAGAACAATTAAAAAATAAATATCTGCCTTATCTCTTGAAAAAGATGATATTTCAAAATTTTTTTTTTTTTTTTTAATGCCACTTCTTAATAAGGGAGATAACTTCAGTATAACCTCAATCTAAATTTGCATATCACTTTTTACTATTATTTCCTTTCCTCCAATACTCAGTTTTGTCAATATTATTTTTATCTATATAATGTACATTAAATGGAAGTTGCAGATAAGTAAATAAAAATCATAGAGAAAAACATCTGACACACTGACATAAGAATGAAGAGGAGTTTCTCAAATAATAGTTTTTAAAATTTATTCATTATGCAACTCAAGAAAATGAGAGAAATGTAAAGAAATCATCAAAATGTGATAGACTCATTTGTGTAAACAAATTTGCAACATTTACATTAACAACATCTTAGAGAAAGAAATATATGCAACCATATTGACATTTACACATACACACAAAGTATTGAAACAGCAAATTTTTTGTTTATTTACAAAAATTTCAACGTATTTACAATTCTATATGTTTTATCTAGAGGAAATATAAAAAATGAAATTGTGAATTATTTGTTTTTCATTACTTCTGGACATGATTATCCATACAATTTACACAAAGTAACAAAATGTGTTAACAATTCTAAACATAACTGCACAGAAGATGAATAAAAAAAAACAACATTTAAAACAGAAAACAAAAAAGTAAATGTTTTCACATATAACTAGCTTATTTCTCCTACTGGATTTACATTAATTATAATAATCATTTAATTTCCAATTGATAAAAAAAGATGACAGAGAGAGGGAGGGAGGGTTTGGCATAGGATGAATGAAAAAGTTGCCATTTTGCTCCAGTTTTATTTGCCCCATTCTTCAAAATTCTTTTCCTTGCAGCAGTAATATTGATTAACTTTAGAAAACATGGACAAGGAGGCACTCCTCCTTGTCGTCCTCTGACAAGAAAAATGATAGCAGAGAGAATAAAAGTGAGCAATTATCTTAGCATGTCTCAACTCCATTCATATCCAACAGCAGCCAAATTCACTGAAGCCATGCTTGATTGTCATCTGAACACAAAGTCAGACAATATGGAAAAATTTAACTAAAAAATATGACTCCTATATCTTCAAAGATAAATTGTAGTTTAATAGTCCAGTCCAACTATTTAAATTCAGAATTTTAAAAAAATGCTAAACTGAAGAGAAGAGAAATAAGAAACATTGCAAGCCTTTGACCACTATTTCCATGGAAAATAGTCAGATGAACTACATTCCCTACTTCCATCAGTTCTAACCTTCACAGCTAAGACCCACAGCTGAGCTATGCCCATTGTAGCCAACCACCATCATTCCCATCATATTCTATTGGGGATATGTAAGTTCCATGGGTAGTTTCTTCCCACAAACTGCTGCTTTGTGGGACTGACTCCCAAGATGATGCTTCCTCGATCACTAGGGTTAACCATTATCTTCCCAACATATCCCCATAAACCGTCTCTTACTAGAATGGCTCTTGAGCCTTGTACAGGATGAACATCATTGTAAAAAAAGAAAAAAAAAAAGAATTTAACTTTAGTTCAGAAAAAATGCAAACATTTTCTTTAAAACCACAAATTTAAGAACAAAACTAATTTTAGGATTGATCACAATAACAAATCTTGTGACCCATCATGGTCGTAGGGGCACCACATGTACTGCAGCTGCAGTAGAAGTGGTTTTTTCTTGAAGATAGCCTGATGGAGCCCAACCCTCACTAGCCTGGTTTGAATTCAGAGATCTTCTAGACAGGTTGCCACCCAAGACTATAGAACCCAGTTGCCACCCAAGACTATAGAACCCAGTTTGTCCTACCTATAGCTGGGGGGGGGGAGAAGATGATCCATACCTTTCCCAAGGGTATTAGCATGTAAGTGAATGTAATGAATCTGAATTCAAACTTGGCTTTCCAATTCCTCAATCCAAGCCACTATCCATTACTCCATCATGCCTCCTAGAGAAGGCACAGTGGATAAATGGATACAAATGGAATAAATTTAATTTATGTACTCAATAATTATATTGAAAAGCAAACTAGCCAAACTTGGATAAATCCCAATAAATTTTATTTCATTTGAAGAAAATAAGACATTTAATTAGCCTCAACAAAAGTTTATTAATTTAACCTTAAAAACATTCAGCTTGTTTGAAAAGAAGTTTCACAAAAAAAAAAAAAAATTGAAATTAAATATAACTCAATGAATTGATAATTAATACACTCTCTACTTGATTATGCATAATGTTGATTAACTTTTTTAAGACAAAAATCTGTGTGCATACAAATATTCTGTTTTTAAATAAAGCATGTTTTTATTACATCTTCTAGGAACATTTTACAAAAATTTACAATGCTGGTTAGAGTAGTATCTTTGCAAAAACTAAAAGTTGTGAGTTGAGTGCAAAATGAAGGAAACAAAAAATTAAGGAAATAAAAAAAAAAATACCAGAAAACCATTTCCAACTTCTACAAGTAGCTTCAAAATATAAAAGTCATGAGAGAAAGAAAAGAAGAAAAAATAAAAGACACAAAATCATGAAGCACCAAAGTTGAAAGGAAAGCAAAAAGACATTAAGAAAAGTGAAGTTTAATCTATTACTAAAGGGGATTGGCTATGAAAACACAAACTAAAATGACTATAAGAAAGTGTAAAGGAAAAAGAAAAATGAATGAAATGCAGAAGACAAATTAAAAGAGAGATAAAATTGGATTGGCTGACAGGCTAAATGGTATCAAGCTAAAACACTAAATTAAAACAGGGATACCTGCTGCCTTTCATTATATGAGGAGAGAGAGAGAAAGAGAGAGGATGAATAGTTTTATGTTGAAAAGGAATAAGAGAAAAGAAAAAGTAAATAAAACTTGCTTTATTGAATGCTTTTGAAAGAATTTATGATAATTTGTGTGATGAGTCACTTGAAAAAAAAAAGTCTCTACTGTAGAGCCTTTATCAGGTGTTCTATTTAAAATGAATACAAGTTTAACATTATTTTAATATAAAAATATTTATTCTAGAATAAATGTAAACAAAATTTTTTTTAAGTTGCCAAAAAATATTAATGACTAAAAAAAATGTAAAATTCCTTTATTCAACTCTCATTTAAAGAGTGAAAATGACAATGAACAGTGAAAAGTTAAACATGTCAGTTGAATCTATAGAGAAAAACTGTTTGTAAAAATTAGTTATGCCAAAATTTCCGATTCAAGTCAGAAAAACGTTTTTCGCAGAGATGTAATTAAAACATTTTCAATATCTTTTAAGTAATATTTTCTATAAAGGTAAAACATATTTTGTACTTCAATTCTCAAATCTTAATTTCTCCCTGCATTTAAATTACACTAGACATCTATAAAGATTTTTTTTTAATCATTTCACCCCAAGCAAGGCCACAAAGCCATTAGGATGCAAGAGGTTACTGAGTGTGAGAGAATATGAGGAAAACTACTATTAAGGAGGGAGGACAATAAAAGAACAGGAATTAAGAAGACAGAAGATAACAAGTGACATTGCATTTACATTTTTGAAGATCAAAGTTGACCAGGAAACACGAAGTTGGAAGAGAGTTCCACAAGCAAGAAGTGCAAGATAAGAAACTGTTAACATAGAACTTACGGTTACATCTGGATATTTCAACTGTAAAATAATGAGATCTTGCTGTGAATCTAGTACTGCACTTAAATTCATTTTCTAGCTACTATAGAGGAAAGTTCATCAGAACAATTACCATGAAAGTATTTATAGAAAAGGGAAGCTACATTATGGCAATGGGAAAGTGACTGAAGCTGAGATGCCAGGTCAGGACTGCAGATTCTTTGGATTTTTGATAAAATCCAAAATTATTTAGCAGAAGCACCAAACCAGATGTGGCAGTTGTATTCAAAGCAAG